GTTCTCAATAAGTGTTAGTTAGGAAAGTAAATGTGTGAATCGAGCCCTGGTAACCGTAATAAAAACAGTCTTTCTTGTGGAAATGTGTCGGTGATTATGGACTGGACCAGCTGCAGCATTCAAACAGAAATTAGAGTCTTAATAGACAACACACAAGCATGGCACCCCAGAGTTGGACAGAAATTTTCTGTGCTCACTGGGAACTTGGCGCTGACTCTGGTTTCTCTGTCACAGATTTTGGGGTGGGAGAGTGCTCCCATGGGGAAAGCAGCACGTGCTGACATCAAAATTGAATAGAAACTTGGCTGGGCTAGGAGTCATTGCTATTTTAGTCACTTCCAGATGTCTGCTGCTGTAGTTTCAAGGGACAGGGAAAGATGAGTGGAGTGTGCCATGCCACTGGGTAGAAGATGGGGAGCATTCTCCTTCTAAGCCTTTCAAGTTGTATTTAAAGCCATCCCTCAACATGCTACAAAGATGGATTGGATAAAGCCTTTAAAAACTGTGCTCTTCTGTTCACAATAGCAAAGACTTGGAACCAACCCAAATGTCCATCAGTGATAGACTGAATAAAGAAAATATGGCACATATACACCATGGAATACTATGTAGCCATAAAAATGAATGAGTTCATGTCCTTTGCAGGGACATGGATGACGCTGGAAGCCATCAGTCTCAGCAAACTAACTTAAGAGCAGAAAACCAAACGCTGCATGCTCTCACTCGTAAGTGGGAGTTGAACAATGAGAACGCTTGGACACAGGGAGGGGAACATCACACACTGGGGCCTGTCAGGGGGTTGGGGGCTAGGGGAGGGATAGCATTAGAAGAAATACATAATGTAGATGATGGGTTGATGGGTGCAGCAAACCACCATGACACGTGTATACCTATGTAACAAACTTGCACATTCTGCAAATGTATCCCAGAACTTAAAGTATAATAGAAAATTAGTTAATTAATTAAAAATAAATAAATAAACAAAAACTGTGCTTTTTAACAATATTCATTTATAGATTTGACTTCATATATATCAAATAGGCAAACTGCAGAAACCTTTGCAAACTAATCATGACTCTGCCTGCCCCCAGTCAGAAAAACAAAACCAAACCAGAACCATTCTCGGGCTTTGGTTATGATCTAATATTTATGAAGTGCCAGCCATTGAACATATGTTGAATGGTACATATGCCAGATGAGCTGGCTGCCCCTAGGAGCTATTGTGCTAACCTAACAAGCTCACCAGATGCTCGTTCTATATCTACTTTCTCCTTTTATGATATTTTCAGTGTGTCTTTTAATCCCAATATTGTCATTATGAATTAGATAAAAGATATCAGGTGGGGGTGACCCCCTCTGAAATATTCTCAAAAGGGATGCCTGGGGTTCTTTCCAAGAGGCCCTGGCACCACCAGGGACCAGTCTAGGGGTGTAGATCAAAGTCCGTAATAGGTTCATAGAGTTTCTTGTTTCTTTCTTTCACCGAAAAGGTATGGCACTAGCATGATATAACTCTTGCTAGATAAAGAAAGCACAGGAGAAGCAGTATAGTACAGTGGTTAAGCATATAGGATTTGGATTAGACTCAGTTCAAGTTCAGACACTGTCACTCATTAGTCACGTGAACTTGGACAAATTACTTAACCTCTCTAAGGCTCAGTTTCTTCATCTGTAAAATAGGTAGAGTGATAGTAGCTATTGAATTTTTGTGTGTGCAGGAGAGGGGAAAATTATGGTAAATAAGAATTCCTCCCTTGTCCAACAAGATTGTGAGCTAACCAGAAATATAACAAAGGGTAAGACCAGTGGAGGTCAACATGCCCCCTTTATTATTGTCGAAGCTGACATAAAAGAATGTAGTGTCTTTATGGACAAGTGAACTTCACAGCCAGACCCCTCTGCCACGACAGGCCTCTCCTTGGAGGGGCAGAGCACAGCATGTGCCCTCTCAAGAGGAGGAAGAGATGTCCGCATTTCTCCATCCACGCTCTACTGTCAAATCAGTCGCCTTTCCCCCAGGCTAGAGTGAGGCAGTGGAGGGTGGCCGGGAGTGTTAGGTTAATGGGTCTTCGCATGGAAGAAAACATCAAGAGTGGAGGATACGATCATCCTAGTAGCGGCAACTTCAGAGTGTTCCCCTGAGGACTCTGTAAGATAAAACAAGGTGTTTGGCAAGTGCTAGATGTTCACGAAATGTATACGGTGATGTTACGTATCACAGCAACCATTGTCACTGAGTGTCACGTTTGTGGTTTGTGGCAAAGAGATAGGGCAATGAAAAACAGAGACATTTGGAAATTGTTGTGTTGTCCCATGAGGGTTAAATAAACAGGTCAGGATATAATCTTTAAACCAAACAAGAGACTAAATGTTTATACTTAGCACGTTCTGTTATTGTCACCCTGGGACAGAAGAACCAGCATAAAGGTTTAAGACACAATAGAAGGAGATTGGATTTAACACAAGTGGGAAGAAGCAGAGATCTTAACTAGATAAATGTGAAACAAGAAGATGTCATGCACCTGGGAGCTGGGAAATCCTCCCAAGCATATTCTCCTGGGATGAAGATTTCTGGGTCTTGGGCAGTTGGTCAATCCATGTCTTACCTTAGACGTGAGATTAGCTCACCCACTCCCTCTGCTTGAGGTTTCTACTGGTTGTTTATCCCTAAATGTTCTTTTGGGTTGCAATCCTAGTCAGGGTTCTCCAGAGAAATATAACCAGTAGAAGATATGTATACACACAGACACACACATATATAAAATTTATTGTATAAATCTAATATTTATATAATAAATTTATTTGGATTTATCATTATTACTTAAATTGATTATATAAATCTTTATATATATATATATAAATTTGTTGGGTTTTTGTTTTTTTGAGACAGGGTCTCACTTTGTCACTTTGTCACCTAGGCTTTAGTGCAGTGGTGTGATCTCGGGTCACTGCAACCTGCACCTCCTGGGTTCAAACAATTCTTCTGCCTCAGCCTCCTGAGAACTGGGATTACAGGCGTGTGCCACCATACCTAGCAAATTTTTGTATTTTTAGTAGAGCCAGGGTTTCGCCATGTTGGCCAGGCTGGTCCTGAACTCCTGACCTCAAGTGATCTGCCTGCCTTGGCCTCCCAAAGTGCGGGAATTACAGGTGTGAGCCACCGTGTCTGGCAGATATATGTAATTTATAAGTTAATGTAAATAATAGATTTATTACAGATATAAGAGATTCATTTTGAGGAATTGACTCACACAATCATGGAGGCTGAGAAATCTGCTAACCTGCCATGTGCAAGCTGGAGACCGAGAAACCAGTGCTGTAATTCAGTCTGAATCTGAAGGCCTGAGAACCAGAGGAGCCAATGGTCTGAATCCCACTCTGAGGGCAGGAGGAGATGAGATGAGATGTCCCAGCTCAAGCAGTGAGTGAGGCAGGAGAAAAAGGAGCAAATCGCTCCTTCCTTCTTTTGTTCTTCGTCTTTTTGTCCTCAGTGGATAAAATGATGTCCAACCATGTTGGGGAGGGCAATCTACTTTACTGAGTCCACCTATTTAACTGCTCATCATATCCAGGGACACCCTCCCAGGCAAACCCAAAAAGAGTGTTTAATATGGACACCCCATGGCCCACTCAAGTTGACACATACAATTAAACATCACAAGTTGGCTTTATTTTTTCTTGAACTGAAAAATGCAGATACAGGCCTGCATGGCCCAGGGAAGCCCAGACCTTTGGTGTTTATGTATGATTCATTCCATGCAGTCCCAAGTTAAGCCCCCAAGTTCCTCTGAGATTATTTGGAGATTTTATTTTGTTCTAGTTCTTATAGAGTATAGTATTTAAGAAAATTTGTGCCATATTTTGAAAGCAATAGTTTTTTCAGGTCTCTGTTGGCCTCCGATTTGAGTTAGCCATGATCTTTGTTAAAGGCAATTTTCTAAATTACTTCTCTTAATTCTTCCTCTAGGAATTAGCATCCACGACATTTCTTCTTTCTTTTCCATACCTCCACTCTCCCTGACTTCACTTCCCTTCTTTGGCTGTGAGTGTCAAAGTCCCTGGGTTGGTATAAATGATGTTAAAGACAACCAACTGGGTTTTCTAAGATTCAGGGTTGATTCACCTGATCTCAAGAGGAAGCCCCATATTGAAAAGTGATTATCTCCTCATTTCACAAAGCATAGTTATTGTCACAGAGAAGTAAGAAGGGCACTGGGGAGTGGATAGCTGTAGTGATACAGTAACAATGCTTCAATGCTGAGAGTGAAAAACAGTGAATGTGAGGAAGGAAAAAGGTACATATTATAAAGGAAGCAGCATCAGAATATGCCAATGTTCTGAGGATAAAGAGGGAGTTATTCAGGTGACTTTGGGAGAGGATGATTTCAACCCTGGCAGGTAATTTTTAGGAACGAGAATCTAATGCACAAGTAAACATGCTTGTTATAAGGGAATGCTGTGATAGTCTTGATGAACGGGAAGTGTGCAGATGAGTTCTAATGTCATCTCACCTGCTCTTTGATTTCTGTGAAGTGAGAGCTGAGACACAACCTCTGTGGTTTAAGAAGAACTGATGTAATTACGGTCAGGTGATTGGAAATGGAAATCTGCCACTGCACTTTGAGGAAGCATTTTTCAGATCCCCATCCCCCAGTATTAAGCAAGCTCTTAAAATTGTAAATCTAATGATACCATGAAGTGTGTTTTGATGTTTAAATCAAAGGGCATTTCACGGTAATGGCTTCACAGCTGAGCAAGCCTATATTTGCTTAAAAATTTTATCTATTTAGAAGTCACCGGTTTTCAAATAAACCAAAAAGCTGCCAGTCAACATGGCAGCTGAAACATTCACTTCATGGAGCAAAACAACAGGGCTCATGTCAGAGCTGTGACCCAAGTTTGAAAATTAACGTCATTTTGTTATTTCTCTTACGAGTTGATCTTTTCCTTTGAGTTGCTCTTCACGACATCTGCTAAGTGGCTTTGTTGTTGGATTTCAGGGTTTGGCACAATATTCCGTTCTCTTTTATGGCTATTATGACAATAAACGAACAATTGGATGGATGAATTTCAGGTTGCCGCTCTCCTATTTTCTAGTGGGGATTATGTGCATTGGATACAGCTTTCTGGTTGTCCTCAAAGCGTAAGTTTGATTTGTCTTTTGGGAAGCAAATAATGATTTCTGGAATCAAATGGAGGGATTAATTTGGGGATTGGATATAATTTTGTTGCTATTTTATGTCTAAAGGAAACAGAGTCTGTAAGAGATGAAATGTAGTTTTAATACCAACACTAATGTTAGACTATTACATCTTCAAAAGAATTGAACATAAACACAGGCCTTTGAGTCATCTCATGGGGTCAGACTAATGCTTGCATGTCTATCTTGTGTTTAAACATATTTTTTAAATGTGCATTTTTGTACTTGAAGGTACGAATTAACGTTGCCAGCAAGACAGGGAAACAGCTGCTGGCCCCTCTTTTGCGTGCAGAGAGGTTTTAACTTGCAGAATCAGCTCAATAGGCAGAATCTATTGTTCTCTACTCATTTGTTTATAAAAAAAAAACCGGAATAATCACTCATCCAAAAAATTTTAGCTGTGTAAGACAGAAAAAATGAATGGTCCCCAATGAAACCGTCACAATCAACTGTATAATCATGGTTTGTCTTGGGAAAAGATGTATTGGAGTATGGGGAGGAATTTCACTGGAGAACTGATATTACTGCAGTTCATTTTTCCCCCTGCCTAAAATATATTTATAATACTCTACTTAAAGACTGCAGAAGCCTAGCAGAGTTATTTGGGTTTATATATAAGAAAAATGACCCTTTAGCCAATTTTTTTTTTGAACCAGTTTACGAGAAGAGTTTAAACATCTCAAGTAAGGTTGCCATTCTTTTATTTGACTATGCTCAAGGTGAATGAGTTTTCCCCTCATTGTAGGAGGCCCCTCTGCCTGAGGGTCTAAGAGGGAAAAAAGTGCAGAGTCACCCTAAGCAGGAGCTCTCTGAAGCAGTCTGTGACACACTTTGTGTCCTAAACCTGCCTCACTTACAGGTTCCTCCAGAGAAAACTGCCATATTTCATTTTTAAGCTCTTTTGGGACTTAAAACCTTGTGGGAAATCCTATATGTAAGACATTTATCAACCTGTTCAAGTGTAATCAGAGACCTCAAATATAAGAGACTGTCCATCAGATAAACTACTATCACATTCCAAAAATCAAAGATATTTTCTAGTCTTTTGACTATATTGCTCTGGTTGGGCTGAAGTCAGAGGTATCATTTACATTACTGAGGCCTCATGGGTATCATTTCTGTGTTGCTCCTTTAGTTTCTATAGTCAGTGGAGAAGAATATTTTCTCATGTCCGATTACTCAGCTTTTTTCGGTAACTGTGCAGGTTGTGTACCCCACAGTCATTCTGCCTAGGTTCAAATCCCAGCTCTACCTTGTATGTATTTATACAATCATTAGCAGATGGCTCAACTGCTCTGTTCTCCTGTTTCCCCTTGGTAATAGAGGTGTAATGGATGTGAGGACTAAAGGAATTAATACAAAGCACTTAGAATATGCCTGGATGAGAAAATTATTAAACAAATGTTAACTATTTTATTAGGATTATAATTCATAGGCTTATTGAAGAGAAAAGGCCAGCATGGTAGGAGTTGAGGCCACATTATAGCTCCCCAAAACAGGGCAGTCATGTATGGTTATGCAGTTGTACATCAGTAGATTTGTATGTTTAATAAATTATTTTCTGGCAGATGAATTTAAAGTATCTAGAGCAGCACTATGCCAGGCAAGTCACTTATATAAGTTTAAAACTTCTAGTAGTCATATTAAATAAATAGATAGGTACATTTAATTTTAATAATAAATATATTTGATTTAACTCAATATATCCAAAGTATTACCATTTTAACAAGCAATATAAAATTATTGTTGAGATATTCTCTGCCTTTCAGAAGATATCAAGTCTTTGAAATCTGGTGTGTATTTTATACCAGTCACATTTCAAATGTTCAGTAGCCAGATGTTGGTGGAACACTCTATTGGATAGAGTGGCTCTAGAGGAAGTAGTGGCTTTTTCAAAGTTGCTCAAAGATGCCATTTGGGATAGCTGCAGGGCATGAAATCCATTTTCCCCCTCAAAGTCATTCATGTTCTGTCAACCAAACCAGTGTGGCCTTGAACCTTTCCTCTGGCATGGACCTTTGGTTGCTCCTTACCTGATTAGCAAGTAGTTTAAACTCATTGCCCAAACAGCAAGACAACTCGAAAACAATACATGATTCTCACCCCACCACCAGCCCGTGGGACAATACTCAGTAGAAAAAGAATTGATGAGATATAAATCTTTGTACAGAATCACTAATCATCTCTTCCTACTCCTATCCCAGTCAAATATTCTCTTGGAATAAGTTTGAGTGGATTTATGACATACGTTACTCAAACGGAATAGAAGGGAACCTAAGTTCTAAAATCGACTAGGCTACATCAAGATTTTTTCATTGTGCTCATTCTGTTAGCTTCTGCATATTCATTCACAAAATGGGAGCAAATATCTATTTTTAGTTACTTAATAGCAAAATCAGAAAATAAAAAGATAGAAATCCAAGAAAATAGTTTGAAGTTTTAAGATAAGATGACTAACTTTGTTGACCCAGGACTCTCCTGGTTTTAGAACTGAACGTCTTGCGTTTGGGAACCTTTCAGTCCCCAACAAACAAGGATGGTTGATCACCTTAGTTTTAAGTCCTTCCCTTTTCTTCTTCCTCCCTTCATTCGTTTCTTTTATCCTTCTTTTTTTCCTTTTCTTTCCAGGTCAGTGTACATTTTCAACCACATCATATACTTAGAAATCTTCATGATAAATATAAACATAAGTATTAAAAGCAAAGTAAAACAGCGTAATGTAAAGTTACACAACATAGAAACCATCAGCTCCTTTAAATATTGTCCTCATTAGTTTAAAGTTTTATGTCACAAAGTAAAGGTGGCTTGACATCGGGACCCAACTGCTCCCATTAAAAATAATTCTCTAAGCTAAAAATCTGGGGTTTTACTGGTCTGTTTTACAGCAGCTAAACTACTGGAAACAGTTGAATCATTTTGGGAATGCATGTCTTAATAAGAAACTCATAGCTATTTTATCCTTATAGGCGTCTTTCAATACTTTTTCCTGTTTGTAGGTTGTTTTAGTCCATTTTGTGTTGCTATAAAGGAATACCTGAGGCTGGGTAATTTATAAAGAAAAGAGGTTTATTTGGCTGACAGTCTACAGACTGTATAAGAAGCATGGAGTCAGCATCTGCATCAAGTGAGTGATTCAGCCTGTTTCCACTCATGGTGGAAGGCAAAGGGGAACCAGCATGTGCAGAGATCACGATGGTGAGATAGGAGGCAAAAGAGAGATGGGAAGGTGCTGGGCTCTTTTAAACAGCCAGCTCTCATGGGAACTAATAGAGTAAGAACTCACTCACTATCCCCTGCAAAGGAAGGCATTAATCTATTCATAAAAAAATCTTCCCCTATGACCCAAACACCTCTCATTAGGCACCTCCAGCATTGAGATCAAATTTCTACATGACATTTGGGGAGACCAACAGTCAAACCTTAGCACAGGGCTCCCTGGGATTAAATATAATTTTTCTGTTTATGATCCTGTCTATAACAATACTCATAGAATTGACTAACAAATATTCTTGGATACTTAAATCATGTGCTATACATAACCCTTAAATGGTGTTAAAATTTTTGTCTACGTAGACTATCATATATATTATATATATGAGATATATATTATAAACTACATATATCAAAAACCAGCCTCAATACATGCAGATAAATATTTTTAAATTTGGCAAAATGACAGTATGTTCATCCATATTTCTGGAGCTGCAACAATAATTATGATTTTTACTTGAAATAATAACAATTAACATCTGTTGAGCATCTGTCATGAATCAGTTTAAATTACATTACTTCTAATCCCTAAACATTGCAAAGTAGCTATTAGTTTTATAATTTTACAGATAATGAAATAAAACTCAGAGATTCTAAATGAACTGCGCAAGGTCATTTGACTATAAGACCTCTTTGAATTTAGATTTTTCTAGTTCAAAAGATATCTTCTACCCCCTACACCTTGCCACCTCTCTGTACTGTGCTTCTCCTTACATAGGCCAATGTGTTCCTCCCACCAATCTTATATACTGTGTTGAGTATACATTAGTTATTCCTGTTGGATGGATGGAGAAATTAAGGCTCAGCAGAGTTTGAGGATTTGACTAAGTTCAAATACCCAGTAATTTGCAGAACTGAGCTTTGAACACCTTGCTTTAATTCCAGGACTTCGCTTTTCTAATTTCCAATGTGGATTCATTTATATTGATGATAACAATCATCAGTATAGAGTGATGTCTCTGTCTTATCCTGGGTAGCCTTTTTTTTTTTAAAAAAAATTCTATATTAAAATAGTTTCTTGTCTGTTGTTAAATTCCCTTAGAGTTTTATGGCCTTGATATGACTCAAGTGACCAAATGTTTTGTTAAAAAACAATTAAACCTATCAAAACCAAGTCCTTCTTCTACAAGATTCTTGCATATTCCAAGATAAATCATGGCCAGCTTCACACACACCATTTCTAAATCAATGAGACTCTATTTTCTCCCTTCTACTTAGATGTCAGTGCCTTTGTCCATTTTCTTTACACTTCTTTGGTGTTTACCCAGACAGTCATGACCTACCTGATACTCTACCTAAATATCTTCCATGTCTCTTGACATCTTTAATTTCTTAACATTGAAATTGTTTCTTTTTCCTCCCCACATTCTCACCCCCAATTAATTTTTTTCTTTGTCAAAGGAATTTCTCCTTATCTATTTAGTAGAAAGCAGTCAGAGTGCCTCATAGAATCCAGTCTAATATTTTACTTCTCAGAGATATTTTCATTGGAGATCATAATGTTTGATATATGTAATGATGAATTTCAGACCCTAGAGAAGGTTATGGAAGGGTAAGTGGACCTGGCCTAAAGGATATGATATTCTGGCAAATCCCATAAAACATATGATTATCTCATCTTCCTCAAACTATAGTTGACCTTGTTTCAAAAATGCTTGGAGCAGAAAAGCAAT